TTGGAAACAAATCTTGATCTTTTAGTTTGACGGTTATACATTGCTTTAGAATCTATAGTGGTATCACTTTCTAAAATACATCACTTGATATACAGGGTGGTCACACATTTTCATAATACACCTATTATAGTTATGAAGCTTGTGAACTTTTGTCGCAAGGACGAATTAAGAATGAAAAACCAAAATATCGGTTAAATCGAACGTCTAGACAAGAATCTACATCGTTTTTTACAGACTTAAGTTTTAATACTTTACGTTCAAATAATTTTTTTCCATCAAAACGGTCCAAAATAACTTAAAACGTTTTAATATGAAAATACCTTCAAGCATCGTATTTCTTTAGGCAGCGCTTTTATGGTAATTTTTAATACCTATAATGGGTATATATATTTTCTTGAATTTTTGGGTTTATTATTATTTTGTTTTCTCGGTTGCGTAGACGGTTTTTTGCCGCGTTAAGTAGTTCTGCGAAAATTTCGCTGTTGTTGAAAAGTGTTTTGGCAGAATTTCAAAATCAACTTCGATAAATCTCAGAAACAAGATTGTACGTTTTAACGTCCACTAATAATCTCATTTGATTATACTATTACCTTGAATTTTTTTGGTTTCGAATTTGGCATCTCCGTTGCTACCAGCACGCCCCCTTTTTCTCTGTGGCGCCCTTTCTCTGGGACACCCTGTATATGTTTATTTTTTTATTCTAAACTTAATTTTTAAAACTTATGCCACTGTGCAAATGTTTTCTACTTATTTTAAATTTATGACACTACGAATTTTATGGTCATTTGCGAATTTGTCCTACCATTTTTGAAATTTATCCCACTGTGAATTTTTCGACTATTTCTTAATTTTGCATATTAAAAATTTGAAAGATTTTGTTTTATGAATTTTGAATATTATGAAAATTTTTAAATTGTTAAAAATTTCAAAAAAGTTGAAAATTTTGAAAGTTTTAGGAAATTTTCAACATTTATGCCACTGTGCGAATTTGTCCTACTATATGGAAATGTATGCCAACGTGTGCATTTCCTCCTCTATTTCTTAATTTTAAATATTAAAAATTGTGGACATTTTGTTAATTTTAGGAGTTTTAAAAACTTGAAAATATTATGACACTGCGAATTTGTTCTACTTATTTATTACACTTTTTTTCACCATTTCTTAATTTGAAATAAAGAAAATTGTAGAAATATATTTTTTTTAGGAATTTTCAAAATCTTAAATTTTTTGAATATTTTGGAAATTTTAAAACATTTGAATAATTGAAAATCTTGAATATTTTTTAAATTAATAATTATGGGAATTTTGAAAATTTTAAAAACATGCAATTTTGAACATTTCTGGGTATTTAACTATTTTGGAAATTATTTTTTTTTAATCTATACCACTCTGCGACTTTGTCCTAGCATTGTTTAAATGTATCCCACCTTTTTAGTTTTATGATTATGCTAAAATAATAATTGAAAATCTTGGATATTTTTTAAATTTATAATTTTGGGAACTTTGAAAATTTTGGAAATTAAAAAAAAATATTTTTTATATATACCACTGTGCGAATTTGTCCCACCTTTTTAGTTTTATGATTATGCTAAAATAATAATTGAAAATCTTGGATATTTTTAAATTGATAATTTTGGGAAATTTTAAAAATATTGCAATTTTGAATTTTTTGGGTTTTTGAAGATTTTGGAAATTAAATTTTTTTTTTAATCTATACCACTCTGCGACTTTGTAGTTTTACACTTGTGATTAAATAATAATTAAAAATCTTGGATATTTTTTTAATTAATAATTTTGGGAAATTAAAAGTTTAAAAACTTTGCAGTTTTAAAAATTTTAGTTTAATTCTTTTTTTAATTTATACCACTGTGCGACTTTGTCCTAGCATTTTTTAAATGTATGCCACTGTGCGAGTTTGTCCCACCTTTTTAGTTTTATGATTATGCTAAAATAATAATTGAAAATCTTGGATATTTTTAAATTAATAATTTTGGGAATTTTGAAAATTTTAAAAATATTGCAATTTTGAACATTTCTGGGTATTTAACTATTTTGGAAATTATTTTTTTTTAAATCTATACCACTCTGCGACTTTGTCCTAGCATTGTTTAAATGTATCCCACCTTTTTAGTTTTATGATTATGCTAAAATAATAATTGAAAATCTTGGATATTTTTAAATTAATAATTTTGGGTTTTTGAAAATTTTGGAAATAAAATTTTTTTTTTTAATCTATACCACTGTGCGACTTTTTAGTTTTATACTTGTGATTAAATAATAATTAAAAATCTTGGATATTTTTTAAATTAATAATTTTGAAAGTTTTACAAATTTTGCAATTTTAAAAATTTTAATTATGTAAATTTTTTTTTTAATTTATACCACTGTGCGACTTTGTCCTAGCATTTATTAAATGTATGCCACTATGCGAATTCGTCCTAACTTTTTAGTTTTATGCTTATGCTTAAATAATAATTAAAATCTTGGATATTTTTTAAATTAATAATTTTGGGAATTTTGAAAGTTTTAAAAATATTGCAATTTTGGAAATTTTTTGTTGTTTAAAAATGTTGGTTATTAAAAAAAAAATTTAATTTATACCACTGTGTGACTTTGTCTAGGGATGCACCGGATTTGATTTTGGCCGGATTACCGGATGCAGTAATCCGGCGTCATCGGCCGGATTAACTCCGGCCGGATTTTGGCGGATTTCGCCGGAGTCGGCCGGATCTTACAGTGTTTTTACACAGGCAGGTGCAGTTTCTGTTTCAGTATTATGCAAATCTTGCACTTAGTTACCAATTACGTGTTGATGTGGTATGTGGGCCCCACATTGTGGGGATCCTGTTCCCGAACAGGCAACCAACAATACAAGTAAATTAACATTTGTCTTTTAAAACAAGGAGAAAAATTGTCAGACCTTGCATTTAACGCATGCATTTCTAGTCGTATTAAAAATAAATAAAAGTGTTTATATTTGAGGTACCTGCCCACCTTATAAGTAATCATTATTAGGTGGCGCATTGTCTTGTGTAATTTTACACCAGGTTTTTGTCATGTACCTACTTGTTATTTTGACGCGTTAAAACTGATATAATATGTATAATAGGGTGGCCCAAAAAAAATAATATTTTTTTTCTTCTCGTCTCTTGTGAAAATATGTTGGTTTGTCATATTTTAAGAGCCCTTTCAAAATATCAGCTCGATTAAAAATTTTGTAGGGGTCGCTCAAGATTTTTAAAAAATTTCAAAATCGTCAAAAATTGAATTTTTGTTTTATTTTAATTCTTTTTCTCGTCTCGATATTATTTTTTAGGTTGAAAATAATAAAAATTAGTAAGTTAGTAAATTTCAAATCAATATTTTGATTTCTAAAGGTCGCTAAAAGTTCGTTGATATTTATATTCAGAGGTCGCTCGAAAACCTTCAAAATACTCTACTTTGAAAGTTAAAAAAATCTTGAGCGACCTTCAGAAATTAAAATATCGATTTGAAATTTTCAGAATCATTATTATTTTTAAATTAAAAAATAATATCGGAACGAGAAAAAAAATTAAAATAAAAAAAATCCAATTTTTGACGATTTTGGTAATTTTTAAAAATCTTGAGTGACCCCTAAAAAATGTTTAATGGTGCTGTTCTTTTGACAGGGCTCTTAAAACATGACAAACCAACATATTTTCACAAGAGACGAGAAGAAAAAAAATATTCTTTTTTTTTGGGCCACCCTAATGATAGTTAAAAAGTAATAAAATTATACATATATACATACGTATTATATACGTATACGTATTATTATAGCTATTTTTGTAACATCGGCTGTTCTGGTTTTGGCTTCGCCTCGACCGCAAACAGCTACAATTCGTCCTAAAAAACATGATTTTTAGGTACATGTTGCAAACAACATTTTTTTGTTTTAGGTCCATATATTCAAATTTTTAAATAGAGTAAATACCTATTTCTCGAAATTAAGGTTATTGACAGTGACAGTGAGTCACTGTCAGTGACAGTTATCGAATTTTATTTTTAATTGTTGTATTGCAATGGTTCAAGAACCATTTTGCAAAAGTTTCCATAGCAACTTTTTCGTACTAGTACAAAAAAAGAATTATTTTACGGACTCAAATGAGTTCGTTAAATAGCTATTTTAGGGGAAAAACAAAAACATATATATTTATCAATAAATAAAAGTTTTTAAAACCAATATTATATTAAAAAGTATATCTTTATAAAACGTTTAAAAAAATAATAAATAGGTAACATAAAAATAAATAAATATTTATTAATATACCTAATCTAAAAGTTATAACAATTAAAGAACATAGGTACAATAATTATAATAGGTATAATACAACCATCTGAAAACCACTGCGCATACGTACGGCGTCTGTTAGTTAGTGCGCATAGATACGATCACCTGTTAACTGCGCATAGCCGATTTCTTCCCGAGAAAGGTGAACAACTCGAATTTTTGCAATATAACTTAAGGACTTCGTTATCTTATGTTAGCTTAAATCATGAAGTTTAATCCTTAATCTATTTTTAAATTATTTCTAAAAAAATTGTTTGTTATTTGTAAAAGAACATATATTTTTTATAATAAACATTTGAAAAAATATTTTATTTTTAATTTAAAAAATCCGGCCACAATCCGGCCGTTGTTGCCGGATCAGTTTAAAAATTTGGCCGGAGCCGGATATGCTGCCGCATAGGCCGGATCGGCCGGAGGCAGTAGGTGGGCAGTAACTCCGGTGCATCCCTAACTTTGTCCTAGCACTTTTTAAATTTTAAAACTTTTGAATCTTGGATATTTTTTAAATTAATAATTATGGGAATTTTGAAAATTTTAAAAATATGCAATTTTGAAAATTTCTAAAATTTCTATTTAATTTTTTTTAATCTATACCTCTGTGCGACTTTGTCCTAGCATTTTTTAAATGTATGCCACTGTGCGAATTTGTCCTACCATACTAAATTAAATCATGATTTAGTCGACTCACCTAAAGTCTGATGAAAAATCTTGTCAAAATTGACTTCGTTCTTCTTCTCCAGATACTTATGCATCACGCTGCGTACGCTGTAAACAAAAAAACAAATGAAAATCGATTACCGAAGGACACTCGACGAAAACGCGAAAACCGCAAAAAAAAGAAAACCCGATAGTGCAAGCTTACAGCTATTTTTACATCTAGTAGATATTATCTACCCTTCTTAAACATATTTTAATTAAAAAGCATTACATACATTTTTTTGGTTCATTTATTCTATTGCGTCGTGTAGGGTGGTTAATTTTAATCCGGTCCGTGGACCATCATACGGACCATTTATTTTATCATTTATCGCGAAAATCCCTTTCGACTCATTAACCTTGCCTTCCAACGCGAGAGCAAAACAAAATAATTACTTCTTCTCCCTGAAACGTCCCGAATCAATTTGCCGCAAATAATCCCCACTAAAGAGGCAGAGTTTTAGTTAGTTGTTGTCCTTGCCATCGTCGGCAAGGACTTCGCTCTTGTCACACATTAGTGGCGAGATATTGTAAAAAATGCGAACATTAAAATTCGTATAAATTTTGTGCAATAATAAACGTCCAACCAAAAATAACAATCTGTCATTTTTGTCTAGAAGATCCGGCAACAAATTGGAGAAATTATTATTAAAGAATATATGTGCCACAATGTAGTAAAAAATCGACTTTATTTCTTAACGAATTTTGGCATTTGTAATGGTAATTTAGCGAAATAAAACAACACAAAAAAACAAACAATTTATTAGTCAATTGAATATTTTTACATAATTCTATTCCGTTACACATAAATCGTTTGTGTGGGTGTATTACTTTAGTTTTTTTTCATGATTTGCATTTATAGACGTGCTTTATTGAAAAAGTTCCCTTTTGTCTTTCAGTTGTTTTCGCAAAAGCTACCAAAAAACCTTTCGTTAAAAATCCCTGTGATCTTATATACTTACGCAGTTTTTTTAATAAGGATGATAATAATACTTCAAAAGTTATTTTTCTCCACAAAAGAAATTATCACTAATAATGCTTTATCAGCAAAATTAAAAGGTCAGTACAAACTTGTACGATAATGAACGCAGTATAGTGCCTTTAAAACGTTCATTATCGTACAAGTTTGTACTGACCTTTTAATTTTGCTGATAAAGCATTAAAAATATTTTCTACTATAGTAGAAAACTTTTTTTTAGTAATACCATAAAGTAAAAGAAACCAGCTTAGGATTTATCGAGAAGCCAAACCCATAAAATGATATTTAATTTTACATTCTTGGGTCGGCAGTAAAAATTTAATGTACAATAAAATATAGCAGTGGCGGCTCGTCAGGGAAGGCCTCAATTCACACAGAAAGAAAAACTTTTTGTCCATTAATATTATGTATTGGTGATTATAACAATGCTTTTTGATCATAGATTAATAACTAAGTACATTGAAACAACACTAGCCAACATTAAAAACAACCAATGCAGATCATAAAAATTACTTATTTCTTTCATTAATATAATATAAAAATTTACTGAATTAACTATTGACGATCATTAAACGATGTGAAGTTATTTTAAACAGTTTTGACTTTTTTGGATATTTTTAAGTTTTTAGTGAATGAGTTTTTAGTTTTAAAAATATATATATATATATACTTTAAGTAATATTTTAAAAATAATAATTCGATGTGGCTCCCGTCCCGAGGCGGGACTTAAGTTCAGTCCCGATTGACGTCACACACTGTAAATCGGTTTTTATTCCCCGAGATTTTATAATTTGTGTCAAGCTCGATGGCTTAGATGGTAGGGCGGTCGCTTGGCATGCGAGAGGTACCGGGTTCGATCCCACTAGAAGTCAAACTTTTTTTATTTTTTTTAATTTATAAATTTGTTGTTTCTTTGTTAAAAAGTGTTTTATTTTTATCGTAATATAAATTTGCCCATTTTAGTTGGGTTTTTTGCTCAATGGGGCGGGGGGGGGGCCAATGGGGCGGGGTCGGTTGGGTTGTGTTGTTGAGTTTGGGTTGGTTTGGTTTTATGACGTAACTAAAGTGCCCTTAACATGTATACAGGTACAATTTATTATTATTATTTTATTATAACATAACAAATCTTAAAATTATGACGTCAATCGGGACTGAACTTAAGTCCCGCCTCGGGACGGGAGCCACAGCGATAATAATTTAGGATTTCATGTAATTAAGGCGGTCGATATACATATGTTTTAAAATTATTTATATATTTAATCTTGACTTTTTACAGGAAAGCATAATGTTATGGAACTTTTTAGAAAGAGCATTTTGTAAACCTCTTGAGAGCCCAAAGGTTCATATTATTTGTAAATTTCTCTTGCAATAAAAAAATGTATTCACCAAAAACGTCTTTATTTTAAAGAAACCTCTTTTGTGATTGATTGCTTGGTAATTTGTGTAAGATATTTTTCCTATTTCTATGTTGCTAAAACAAAATGTACCCACGTACCCAGTAAACCTTTATTTTAAATAAAAAGGTAAGTAAATTTGGCAAATAATTTTAATTGGGTTCGTCTTGGATTTTATGTAAATTTAAGTAAATCATAAACTAATGCCTTTTTGTTCGTAGTATTAATAGCCAGGGATCATATATCTATGGTAATTGTTTATTGATTCAATGAAAAATAATCATAAACTAATGTCTACCGTTTATAATAATATTAACAAGCTTTCATATATTTATGTTCGCTATTTATTGACTAAACGTAGTAATCATAAACTTATGTCCAACGGTCCTTATATTAACAACCGCTGTTCATAGATCCATGCAGTGGCGTATTTAGGGGGGGGTCCGCCGGGTCCGGACCCCCCCCGGGCGCACTTATTTTATTATTTATATTACAAAAAAAAGTAAAAAAAAAAATAAAAACCTCAAGACTGTCAACGTACTTTATTATTTATTAATTATATTTAAATATAAAATCATTAAAATCAAAAATCAACTACTTACGTATTAAAGAGAAAGAGAAACAAAAATGTTCCTTTTTTAGAAAGTTCCTTTTATTTTCTATTTTATCGGATCAGAAGAGTTCCTAATTTGTGATTTTTTAGTTATTAAAGCATAGCATAGCCATGCTTAAAATACCCCATAGAGACCTATACAAAATAATCTATCGGGCGCTACCGGATTCAATATGTGCATTTGTCCATGGTTTTTTCAGGATACAGCCCGATAGAAAATGTATAGGAAATTACCTATAGGCACACCATAACTTTTACATTTTCCTTATTGAGACCGATAGCAAATAACTCAATGAAGGATATATAGGGATATCCCTATAGAGCAACCATAAAACATTTGACAAAATTTTATTAAAACCTATGGGGTCCTATAGGGGAAAAACTAATTTCTACATTTATGTGTATTTTCCCCATTGAAACCGATAGCAAATAAATCAACGGTGGATATCCCTATAGAACAACCATAAATCTCAATTATGGGTCCTATACAAACCGATACACCCTATAGAAACACCATACATCCCGATACAAATATCTATCGGTTTGAACAGGGTCTCTATGGGGTATTTTAAGCAGGGAGTACATATTTAGTTAGTTTTTTTGGACCCCCCCCGGAGCTAAATCCTAAATACGCCACTGGATCCATGCTCATAGTTTATTAATTTAACGTACAGGATTCATGAGCTGGATTCGTATTAATTACTGTCAAACATAGATCCATGCTCATTATTCATCAATTTAACGTACAGCAATCGTAACTTAATGAATAAGAAAATTTACGAAGTTCCAGATATATATTTTAGAGTTTCGCATTTTGACTTAAGATTGATTTGATATTTTTTTCGTATTTAGACAAAATTAACCTCATGTAACCCCACCCTCCTATACATACACGAGCCGCCACTGAAATATAGTTCCGAATCTTCGGTTATAAAAGTCGTTCAACATTCCCGGAATTTTCCCGGAAAATACGCCCGCCTGATCGCAGCTTGGAAAATATCAACTTACATCGACTACCCAGGATTTTATGACAAACTAAACGTCAAGGTCGAAGATTTCCGCGTTATTTTATCTATACGAAATTCTTAATAAAACAAAGTTTTGATATATAGAGAGAAATTTAATATTTGCGGAACTTTTTAAACTTCGTATACACCAAACAATTTGTAATTTCGGAAAATGCAGCAGCATTCCGTAAACTTCCCGAACAACAAATTAAGAAAGTTTCCGAGATTTCAGCAGTAGGCAGAATTTATAATTAGGCAGAAACAGTAAGGATTTAACTTCCGATATTTGGTACGACCAAATATTTGCCATACTGTTGCCATATTTGTTGTGTTGTTGGGTGTATTTCAAGAGGAAATCCTGGGTTGAGTTTTTACCGGTTTTCCAATAAACATTGTTAATCTGAATGAAGAAATAAATTTAATACAGTCCATGTAAATAGAAATTGTATCTATTAGACACAATAAATACACATTTTAGTAATGATTAACGTGAAAAGTGTAAACATTTCAATTCAGTAATAATCGTCAAACAAATAAGTCGTCTAAATTTAAACAGCATTTAGCATTATTAAAAGCGTTGATTAAGAAAGTCTCCACTCAACGGTAAAATACCATTATATTATGTATTATATATAGTATTATGTTGCCATGAATTCTTAGGTATATTTTGTTGTTTAAAATGCAGTTGTCGGCGTTTTTTAGTGAACTCAAATATAAAATGGTTGATTTTAAGGTTATGTTTGTGTAAAAATTATTTTTTACTAATTTCTTAAAAATGTCCAAACTTAAATATAAATTGTATTAGGTAAAGTTATCATTAGTTAATTCTGCCCCAACAAATGTACTTACCGAATTGGATCCTTTAGCAAAACATGAAAATGCAACGATTTAGTTCTTGAATTTTATTTACAATTAAAAACACAATAATTCACCATGATCCCTTGGATAAAACACACACTAACGTAACTATATAAGCATTTAAGCGTTGAGTTTCTTAATCAATGATATAAAGAATAATCAATCGAAATCGAGTACTAAACCAGTTTTTTAGTTTTTTCCTTGCAACGTAAAACACA